GCACACTTACCTAAGAATCTAGAGATCCTTGGTTCAACGCCACTACTGAACAAGTTTTTAAAATAGGTAATGAAGGAGGTGTGAACTTTCTTTCCAATACTCTTCCGCGGTGCTCAATGAATAAGACCCTAAGGACTTCTTGTGGCAGCTAAATTTTTTTTTTTAATTATCTGTGATAATGTTTAGTTTGTTAACATATATTTGACTTAATGGAACTTATTTAATTTTCAAACGTTTTAAATTTTTAAATATTTCACCCCACCTCTCTATTATATTTTAAAAGAACTTTATTTTGTAAGTTTATATATTCAATAAAGCCAGTGGCGGATTGAGGTTTAGTGTCGCGGGGGGGCCAAGTCAATGAATTGGGGCGACCGGGGTTCAGTAATTTGATCTTATAATTATTATTATTTTTGATTGTTTTAGGGAGCGCCGATAGATCGTTCTAGGGGGCGTGGGGGGTGCAAATCGCCCCCCAACGCCTAATACTAAATCCGCCACTGAATAAAGCATGTTGTTTGAAAAGTAAAGTAAGTTATGAGGCTGTTTAAGAGTGATAAAAATATTAATAAATTTGTGTGGTGCGAAAAAAAATTGGTATACGTAAAATAAATAAATAAAATATCAATATTTTCATAGTTACATATATTAAGGCCGTGTAAGACTAATATACCAAAAAAATTAACTAAAGAACTGTTATAATTTAAACCTGAAAATTGTATCTCACCCCCTCACCCTCCTTCCGATTATACCAGATAGTCTGGATCCACCAAATCAAAAAATCGCCCCTTTTCATTCTTTCTAGATGGTCTGGAGTCAATCAAAAACCCTAAAAATATCCCCTCCTTACTAGATGGTTTAGATCCGCCTCCAACTTACATACAATTCGAGGTTTTTGCAGAAGAGACAAAAAATAGTATAAATTAGCTTATGGTCCGACTTAATTTAAGCATGACTTAAGCTAGACACTTCAACGTTTTTTTTAATGTAAAATGATAACAAAATAAATAACATGAGCTACAGCTAAATATTAACGTTTACAAAATAACAAACTTATCGTTATAATATTATTAGTTGAAAAGTTATGCAACTTTTAAACCACAAATTTTTTTTTTTTTTCTTTTTTTTGCATGACTTTTGACGTTTTTAGCAGTTTAAGATTCGCATCAAGGTTTCCATCACATCCGTTCTTTTACAAAAGTAACAATAAACAAGACCGATATTGTTCAAAATTAAGTATATAATAATAATAAAAACTATAATGATTGGAGTCGAAATAATTAGTACACGACCAATTTTGACATAATAAATCTGCGACAGTACTTTTTTTTAATATTTTATTTAATGGTTCAAAAAAAATTTTACAAAAAAAGTTTATACTTATTTTCAAAAATTATTTTCCGTCTACTTTTTCATAAAAGTTTCCAAGTTAAGTCTTTAAAATTAAAGTGTTTTAAAAGAAATAAAAATCTGTTCTTAAGAGTAAACTTTTTGATAGACGGTGTATATTTTGTGTGATCAACGCTCACCATTCAAAATTATGCATACCATTAGGGTAATTTAATGCTATATTTGATTTTTAATTAAGTCAAAAAAACGCTAAATACTTAATTATATATAATAAACTGCACAATTGTTATTATTATTTTTTTTTTCAAACTAACATTAAGATGGATATGAAGAACATTTTTTCTTATAAAGACAATGTATTAAATATACTTTTAGAAGTATATTTTACACAATATTGCTTAAAGTCCACCTTTTGAAATCAATTTCCTTTACATCTTTGTTAAGATTTCCATTTTTTTTTTTAATCTTAAAAACTGCATACCTTTACTTCTAGTTGACCATGAATTACAAACTTGGTTTCAAAGCTTATCATTTAATAATATAATGAAATTGTTTTGGTTGGAAAAATAAAAGTTTAAACTTTTTATGAGGGTACCTAGCCATAAGCAATCAAAGCATAGCAAATTAAAAAAGTTTAGAAAAATTGGTAAAAATAGTTAGTTTATTGTTTTTCTTAATGTTAAAAAGATAAGGTTCTTAATGTTAAAAAGATAAGGTTATCAAAAGATAAGGTTCAAACAAGTATAAGAGATTGTCTGAAACTTAGATATTTATATCTTGTACCGACGTTTTAAAAAATCATTTATCTAAATTGCGATTTTTGTTGTGATTACTTTTTTATAGTTCGAACAGTTGTTCTTATATCTAAATCTGGTCACTATCAAAATAGTGACCAGATTTAGATATAAAAACATCAAAACCAGCTATATCCAAAAATTTATCCAGTTAACTTTCAAGAGAGTAACCCACTTAAAATGCAGCTTAATTGAAGGTTCCAAATATATTTCAAAACGTTTCGCAAGATGTGATTTTGTGGAAAAAGTAAAATATTTAATAGAAAGCTACTTCTTTTTATTTGTTTCTATATCTAAATCTGGTCTTGGAACTATCAAAACCAGCTTTGTAACTGAGTGTAAATCTTCTAGAAAAGCCTAGTGTTACTTCTTTCAACACACTATGCGCTGAGCAGATGCATTAGGTTGCAGAGATGCATCAAACTGCATTTATGTGTTCTCAAGATGCGAATTGCAATTCCGATTGTGAGGACCGAAGAAATGCACTAAGAAATTAACATTTCAAGTATTTTGAAATACTTTAATAAAGAATCTAGTTATTTTTATTTTGTTTTATTATCATTTAAATATTTTTTTCTTAACTTATTCAACTTTTGACAAATTTAAAATTATTTTATTAAAATGCAAGCAATGCAGTTTTTTGAGCAATATAAAATTTTTAGACTTTTTAAAATAAGAAATTAAAATTTTTTTAATCAGCAAAAAATAAAACTTTTCTAAGAGTAAAGTTTGTGTCCCTAACTAAAACCCTGCAGTCCATTTATGTCAACTTGCTTATATATGTCAGTTGATGAATGTGACTATTTCTATGCGTCAGTAGATTAATGCGTCATTACTTGCGTCTATATATTTTTCAATTGATAAATATTTACCTTTTAAAACACGCATTTACTTTTTCTCTTAACAAACTTACTAAAATAAATTAAAAAGTTCTTAACAAACTTACTAAAATGTAATAAGTAACTGAATTGAAAGATAAACACGATAAAAAAAATCCCTTGTACCAGTGGGGTCTGAGGTTTGGCGCCGTGGAGGGAGGGGCATGATAACGAGTAGGGGGCAATAAGGGTTGAAGGTGGCACATTACCCCTTGAAATGGTTTTTTGAGAATCGCACTTGTGATAAATATTTTTTATTAATGCTTTTATGTGCTTTTTATCATAACTATCAGGTACATCTAATAGACTAAACAATCTAAAGTTTGAGTTTATGTAAGTTTAATTTGGTTAACAATTATCATTAAAAAAAAAAATTAATATATATCCACACAATACATATTATTGAAAGCAAGTATTAAGAAAGAAATTTACTCTCCTGGTAATTTATACAAACCTTATTCTTCAAAATTTTATTTCCAGCGGGTACAGAATGTTCGTTGGAAGTCTTAAGATCATCATAAGGACTTGTGACCTTTATAAGGCGTTCTATAGACGTCATACGGACGTCTGTGCCCACTGGGTCGAAGCAAAAGTGTTGTCAATGCTCTCAGCAAACTCAATTAAAATTAATATCAATGCAAAAAGACGTTGTTTTGTCATTGTTGATCACAGATTATTTTTGATCTTTAGTCAACTGAAATTTCTCTCATTATAAACAGATGTAAAAGGAAGAGTCAATTTTGTCAAGAGCTGATTTTGTAGAGTATAGACAAGATAGGAAAACATGATGTCATCTATTTTTCCATCAAGAATGGATGTACGTTGTTTATTTATATTTCAGTCTTCATTGCTGGAGATAGTGATGCACACACATCTTTGAAGAGGGACGGCGCACGAGGTTTCAAGTGGGGAGGTAGTGCCATACGGGTTTTTTCCAAAAACATTTTTAACATATAAAAAGAAAATCTAAATTGCTTCACAATGCTGAAATCAATTAATTTAAAACCTTTTGTTTTCCTACTATAAGTTACAGTTGTTTAAATTTTTTAACACCAAGCTATGTTGAAAATTTATTGAATCTGTACATTGTGACGATTATAAGAGAAATTTTCTTTAAACAAAACGTCTCTGTTTTGTTTTTTACCATAATTGCGGACAAATTTGTAAAACAGGTATGCAAACGTTGGTTTGTTGTTTCCTAGTTTTCTATTTCCATTTAAATAAATGTAGAGTTTTGTAATGAAAAATTTTTATTTTATTGGGCGTCAGTTGACTGTCTTAGGAAGCGCATGGGGGAGGGGGGTAGCTCGTACCCTACGCTCAATGCTAAATCCGCAACTGCCTTGTACAAAGTTGAATGCTTTTGCTGCTAAAGTTTCTGCTTTGGAGTTCTTAGCAAAAAATATAACAAAGAGTTAAATTTTCACAGAATTTACTGCAAATAACGTTAAGGACCCAAGTTCCTTTTTTTTTTCTGAAAAATTAAACATTAAAAAAAAATCAATTGGTTTCATAATCAAAGATATGGTACCTTGCTCGTTTGGGATTAAGAGCTTTACACCAAATTGAGTACGAATGAAATTTTCTAAACTTTCGAATAAGCAATTTAAAGTTCATTTATAACCAAGTTAACTACAAGATATTTTCATAATAAGTAAGTTTTTGACATGTCCCTAGTTTCTAATGTATATTATAAGTTACAAACACGAACATTAGAAAGTTTGGTAAGTTAAATACTTTTCCTCATTGAGCAAAACAATTACGGGCGTTTTTTACAAAATCTCGTACAACCTCGTATATTCAAGAAAAAGTTTTTTTATAAATGAAAGTAAATGATTAATAAACAAATAAAAAAGGAAAAAAGATTATTAAAATTCTTACTATAGCAGCTATTTTAACATTTTGTCTTTCTACTATCAAAAAACTTATAAATTTATAAAAGAAAAAAAAAAGAAAAAGAAAAAAATAGAAAACTTACTTCTTGAACTGTCACGGGAAACGTAACCATGTCTTTTTCTCCTATTGAACTTATTCGGCATTCTCTTATCTCTCGCTTACTACGAGGAAAAAAAGTAATGCTTTTCTCTATATTTACTGGACTTAAGATTTCTACAAACCATGATACCATAAGTATCTTATTTTGCGATATAAAATGTTTTACTTGTTCGTCATCTTGACTATCGTCAAGAAAAATAGCGCCTTTTAAAAACTCTTTTGTGGTCGAATGTTGCATAAAACAAAATTTCCAAGACAAGTTATTTTGATCTTTAAAGCAAAACTCTGAGTTTCCAACTCTTTCCGTAATTTGATTAATTTGGTAAGCAAAGTATACATAAGGTACTATCTGCAAAAATTTTGTTGTTATTTTCAAATTATTTGTTTTCCATAGCAGCTTTAACTGTTTTGCTGTCATAAAAGAAGCTGTTCCAAAAACGTTCGAGTCCGTTCCATAAAAATGTTGCTCTAGTGCAACGTCGTTACCACCTTCAACTAATATCATAAACTTAACATCGTGGCGTAACAATTTATTAAACTTATTTATATCTCTCATCATATATATTGAAGCATGTTTTTTTTTTTTTGCCTTATCAACATTTTTATCTGTTATCTTGTGTTCATTTTCTTTATCATTGGCTTTAGTGGCTGGTGTTTCCAATGTACTTTCATTATAGACACTTTTATTCTTTTTAAACCTATTTCTAAATGAGTCACGGTTAAACGATGCTAATGGCTGATTGGGGGATTGTAAATCATCACCATCAATTGACTGTAATCCTTCCTTTTCTTCTTGGGCTACTTTTTCGCCTTCAGGAAAAAGAACTATGTACCAATGTGTGTTGTGAAACTCAAAAAGAGTTCCTTTTACAAACTCTTGAACATTTTTACAGTCAGATAATTCATCCTGATAAAATGTTAATCGTAATCTGATAAAAACTTGCAAAAATAGTGAATCACTTAAAATATACCCCCGGAATGACTCTAGCTCTTTCACTTCTATTATTCTGCTATATCCAATTCCAACTCCAACCTTTTCAAATAAGTCTTTCTTTTTTCTTCCTCCTTGTGATATAGAATCATCTGGTAAAAGTTTATTGAGTATTGAAAACTTGACTGAAGCAACGCATTTTACATTATTTTTAGAGCAATCAGAAGCTTTGCTAGTTCCGTACCATCTTAAAAACATTCCAAAATGTTGGTTTTTTTTAACTACTTGAAGTTTCCAGTAATGACCAGCAAATCGAAAAGCTTTTGATCTTACATGACTTAAAGAAGAGTATTTTCTTAATTGAAACTGAAACTTAGCACGTTCAGAGTCTTTATCAAGAACACAAAAGCTTATCAAGTTTAATGACGACATTAGAATTTTTATGTATTTTACCGATTCGTTGTAAAGCTCAAATCTGATTTCTACATCTTTGATATTGAGATTTGAGTCGATACAAATTTGAACTTAGCTTGAATTAATTTTGTAAATCAAAGCATTGATTTTTGAATGCTATTTTTTAAGTTCATTGAATAATAAATTTTATTTATAAAAACTGTGCATAATTTTACATAAATTATTCTTAGATTTTTTCCGCACCCTAAGGAAACACACCAAATACAAGTCGTTAGATGAGCATTTTGAGCTTCAATTCTTAGATTTTTATTTCATTACAATTTAACTAATAATAACAATACTAATATTTTAAGTTAAAAATAAAAATAAAGTTAAATAAAAAACAAACAGTTTTAAAAAGAAATTTACAAAAAAAAAATATTTTAAAATTAACAATATAGTATAAAAGTTGTTGTTAATAATGTTATTAAAAATAACAGTAATAGTAAAACAAAAAGTACAAATTAAATTTTAATAAATTGAAAACATCTGATAAAATCCTATATTTTTGTCCTACAAAGTAAAAATAAACGCAATTTCATTAAAATAAATTAAAGCAATGCTGTAAAGAAATTTGAAGGGTTATATTTTAACATTTTAACTTTTATTTAAATAAAATTTTTATTTAATATTGGCAGTATTCTTGGATTCTTTTGATTTATTCTAGACTTTTTTTTTAATTTATGCTTAATAAACCGAGAATAAAATGAGGACATCACGTCGATTATAAGAAGAAACTGTAAAAGAAGTATACAAAAGTTTCACGAGTAACGTTAGAAAGCCGATGGTCCTGCAAGTTTACGCACGGTCGTGTATTTAGTTTACAACGACCGTGTACGCGCTCTGTAAATAACGCCGATACTTCATAGTCTTATTTTTGTATGATAAAACGTTTGGGGATACTTTTTATTTACGTTTTGTGGATATTTGTTACATACTTATAATTATTATAATATTTGTTACATACTTATAATTATATATATATATATATATATATATATATATATATATATATATATATATATATATATATATATATATATATATATATATATATATATATATATATATATATATATATACATATATATATATATATATATATATATATATATATATATATATATATATATATATATATATATATATATATATATATATATATATATATATATATATATATATATATATATATATATATATATATATATATATATATATTGAGTGTCTTATATTAAAACTTTTTTTATTTATTTTTTGTCTAGAATCTAATGGATAAAAATACTTTTTACAAAATGCTTTACAATGCATGAACTGAAGCACATCTGTCAATCAAGCCCAAATTACAATCGCAAAATAATTGCAACATCTTTTAGAATTTGATAAAAAAATAATTTTGGTTTTCAAAATAAATGGCAAATTAAGATTCTGGAGCTTCAAGAAACAAAGAAGAATCCCAAGGGAACTATATCAAGCTTTTCCAAATTCATCAATAGTTCAAAAATTACATCTTTTAAAGACCATTCAGCGTTGTGAACTTCAGTAGTTCCAATTTTTCAAGCAAATAGTTTTACCTTTCAAATATCTCAACCTTCAAGTACTGTATTATCACATAATCAACACACTCTCTAACCAAAATAAGACGTGAGTCAAAATGTATTAAGCTACTGCTTCGAGAATAATGCGTTATACTGCCCCAATGTGATATTTCAAAAATGAAAGATGTGGAAAAATAAAAAATAAGTATCAAACAAGAATTAAAATCACTTGAGGGTAGTTGGAAACGACAGAAAGTGTCCCGAAAATGGAACAAAAATAGAAGTATTGGCTGAGACCTTAAAAGATTATCCTGAGATTGCCTCTAAATTAGTAATTGGAAAGGCAGGAAGCTCTTCAGTTATTAAAAGACAACCGGAATTCCTATCAACAGTTATTCAGATTGCAATTCACAGTGCCTCTGCAGCTGACAAACGAAGGTGCAAGACTTTTAGATTTCTTGATCAGATAACAGAAGCTTTTCAAAATTAATTGATAAAGATGGACTTAATAAAAATTATTAGGTATTAAAAAACAATAGAAATGGCTATTCACAAATTTAACTTTTTTTCTTTGGGTTCTTTAATAATTGCCACAAATGCACCACACAGAAGTGCATTCAATCCAGTTGAACGAAGAATGGCTTCACTTTCATGTATGCTTTCAGGACTTATTTTGCCTCACAAAAATTTATGGATCACACTTACTCACAACTACTCTTCTGGAAAGACAACAAACTTACAGTTGGAAAGAGAAAACTTTTAATATGCCGACGAAATATTAGTTAAAGTGTTTTCCAACGTAGCTATTGATAACTTTAAAACCTACTCAGAATTTATTGACACACTCAACTCAGAAATCAATACCGAAGCAGTAAATAAAAAAAGTCAAGAATGGATTGCTGTTCATGTAAGATCTAGTCAATATATGTTGCAGATTTCAAAATGTTCTAACATCGAATGCTGTACTAAGCGAGGAGGAAAAAATTTTCTTATTTTTATTGCCTCTAGTTATTGCCCATTTATTGAACCACAGTTTTCAGATGGCATGACTTATCGCTATACATCTCTTTTCCAATCTTTACATCTGCTCCAAAAAATATTTTGTTTGATAAACATTGTCCTAGTATCAAAAAAAAATCCTTCAAAGTAGAGTGTGCAAAAAATGTAACATTTATTTTGAATCATTAATCTTTGCTTAACAATCATAAAATAATTAATCCGAAAGAGAAAAATGTTCAAATACCAAAAGCCAAGGTAAAGAAAATTATTCAAAAAGAAGAAAACGGACTACTATTTTTTTAGGAAAACTATAAAGGCTTTAAAAAAAAAGCTTTTACAATGTTTTTACAACATAAAAGTATAACATAAAAGTTTCGACTGGAGCTGGCAGAAGACAAGGTCTAATAATGCAGCCCCATTAATATAACTGAAAAATTCAGCTGATAAAATGAAAAAGGATAAAAGAAATTAAAACGATAACTGTTTTAAGAATCAATTTACTGTTTACAGAAAAAATTAATTACTTCTTATTATTAATATTTGATTGGAAAAAAATTGATTTAGCATAAAAGAAAAACAACATTGCGATACCGCGATCGATATAACCAGTAAATAGCGCCAATATGGCTATAACGAGCTAAATAACAATTATATGGCGACTATTTGAACTATAGTGTTTTTTTTTTGTTATAAAACGAAATTTTTGTATAAATAGAGTTTTGTTATTGTTGTTTTTTAGATACAAAAGTATAAAGAATATAAGTGATATAGTTAATGTAAAAACGGTTCAGATCTTAAAAATATAAGTTATAATACATATTCGGTATTATTTGTGATCGCCATCGGATCATAATTGGTAGCAGAGGGTAGTTTCTTCAACACGAAAGAATGGTAAAAAGAAAAAATCAAAAATTAAATAATCAAATGGAAGATCAGTTAACCGTTCAAAATAAAGTATCTGCATTGAACATGAAAAAAATAGTTCTAAAGTCTTTGTTTACGCGAACTAAACATCAAATTATTCAGCAAATTGGAGACGATGAACCCACTTGTAAAAACGAGTTACGCGAATTGAATAATCAATTAACAAAGACTCAAAACGAAGCTCTCAAGATAATGGTTGAATTAACAAAGAAATATGAACTTCTGGAATCAAAAGAAAATGTAGGAAAACTCAATAAAGAAATTGAAAAACTAAACAACGAATTTGCGGAAATTATGGAACATGAAAACGAATGGATATTGCAAAATGGAAGTTTAAAATCAAGTTTAAAACAACAAAGGATGGAAAAAGAACTCAAAGTGGAAACAAAAAAGCAATGTTATCAATGTTTAAGTACTCAAAAAAGTAATGACCAGTAGGAAGATAATAAAGAAGAAAATGGGAGTAGCGAAACGGGACCAATCAAATCAACGCATATCATGCGTAAAATGGAAAATAAAATAATTGATTTGGATCAAAAGACTGCAAAAATCGGACATGATTTATGGAAACAACTAAAACACGTCTCTATATCAATGTTTAATGGTAATAAAAAGAATTATGAAAATTGGAAAGCTTCATTCTACACATGTATTGATCAAGCCCCAGCAACATCTGAGTATAAATTACTTTAGCTACGTCAATATTTATGTGGAGACGCATTAAAAGCAATTGAAGGACACGGGCATTCGTCATTCGCTTATGAAGCTGCGAAAGAAAGACTTAAAAGAAAATACGGCAGAACAAGGAGAAAAATCCCTGACGGGCATTTGTTTTTAAAAGTTACGTTCTAATGTATTTTAAATGTCTTTTAAACGTCTTCTAAACATTTTTACGCAAAAAACGTTTAAAAGACATTTAAAATACATTTAGAACGTAACTTTTAAAAACAAATGCCCGTCGGGTCCTTGTGTATTTGAATGAATTAAACAACTTTAAACCTATGAAGGAAAATAATCCAAAAGACGTTGAAAAGTTTGCGAATTTGTTAGATGTTGCAGTAACAAACTTAAAAGAAGCAAATCGAACAGAAGAACTTGGTGATGGGACATTGTACCATCAACTTCAAAAAAAAGTTCCTGAAATAATGTTAATTAGATACAAACAATGAGTGTATGAAAACAAATTAAACGAAAATGTTGAAACTATAAAAAAGTTTATTGCTAAGAAACAGATTTTCAAATTGCAGCAACGGAAACTCTACATGGTTTAAAAAAAACTATTGGTAGGAAGGAAATTTGTGTGCTTTGCTACCAATAGTTTTTTTTAAATCATTTTGATCATTGTTACCTTTGGTAACAGTGATCAAAAAAAGAAAATAAATTGGATACTGAATGGTTCTGTTTGCAAAAACGATCATAAAATATGGGAGTTTCGAACGTTTCAAAATCAAAATATTAAAGAAAGATGGGAAACAGCTAAGAAAAATAAACTCTGCTTCAGATGTTTGAATTCTAACCATTGGTCAAAAGAATGCAGGAACACAAGAGTTTGTGGGATTGACGGCTGTACAGATACCCATAATCGTTTTTTTCACAAGAAAAGACATCAAAATGAAACAATTTCTGAAGACTTTAAAGAAAAAGACACGATATTAAAAAATTCTCACACGTCGAACATCCAATATCATTCAAATCACGTCATGAACTACATACAGTATCGGACAAAACAAGTGCAACCAAATAATGCTAATTTAGTTTCTTTATATAAAAATGATACATTTTTTCAATTTAGAGAAATAACTATGTAACTGTTTAGAGACAACATTCTTCAAGTTTTATTCATCACAAAGTTCATTATTTGTACACAAAAATTAATAAATTAATCAAAAGTATTAATAAAAGTTGATTTTCTTCTGGACAAAACAAGTGCAACTCTACAAAATGTGAACCAAGCTGTATTTCGCTATCAATATTTCGTGGCGAATCCTTTGTCGTTGATCACATCCTAGCATCTTCAAGGCATAGATTCGATGAGGTGATCAATGAAATTTTGTGGAATTGCTGCCCAGGCCTTTTGGATTTGTTCAAACAGTTGATTCTTATTACGAACACCTTCACGATTAATTCTGCAGTTGACGATCTCCCAGAGGTTCTCGATAGGGTTGAGATCCGGAAATTGAGGCGGCCAATCCATCACCGATAGGTGGTTGTCATGAAACCACTGCTTGACTACTTTTGCAGTGTGTTTCGGATCGTTGTCTTGCTGAAAAACCCATTTTATTGGCATATTCCATCCAGCATGAGGTAACATAACATCTTTCAGGATATTTTTATACATGAAACGGTCCATTATTCCATCGATTCGATGTATTGGACCTAGACCGTTAGCAGAAAAACAACCCCAGACCGTTACATTGCCTCCACCATGCTTCACGGTCTTAAGGCAGTAATGTAAATCGAAGCGTTTTCCGACCGGTCGACGTACACAGCAAATGCCATCGCTCCCAACGATGTTGAACTTTAATTAATCACTGAACAGGACATTTCGCCATTTCTGCACATTCCAGTCAATATGAGATGTAGCAAACAGGAGTTTTTTCTTCTGGTTCTTTAGTGAAATCAGCGGTTTCTTTGCAGGGCGTCAAGAAAACAATCCGGCTTCAACAGTACATCGTCTAATTGTTTCGTCCAATACAGGCAGCTCTAATTGCTTTTTTTTCTCGACTGATGATATCCAGGGATCCTTCTTGACGGATCTGACGATTATAGAATCCTCTCCAGAAGTGGTGGAACGCGGTCTTCCACCTTTGTTATCTGCTGCCAACTTCCCCGTAGAACGATATTTGGAACATAGTCTTGATACGGGTTATTTTTTTGCGCGATATTTATCACAAATACTTTTTTTGTGACAACGTCTTGGTTGGATGTGGACTGTATTGATGTAATGAAACACTTGTTGTATTTCACTTCTTGTATTGATGTTCTTCGATAAAACAATTTGATAAACTCACTTCGATAAACTGTTTTGATAATACTGACTGATTGACTTCTACATACTGACTGAATTACATCTCGGTTTACATGTCTCTTATATAGTAAAATGAACCTGTGGGAACCTGTTCTGGAAGATTCTAGATGCTTCTTTTCGATGCTTCTGGAAACTTTTGGATGCGTCTGGATGCTTCTGAATGTTTCTGGATACTTCTGGATGCTTCTGGATGCTTCCAGATGCTTATTCTGGAAACTTCTGGAAGCTTCTGCATGCTTCTGGAAACTTTTGGAAACTTCTGGATACTTCCTTTAATTATTAAAAAACTTTCGTGAAGTTGACACGGACCAGACTTAACAAAATGAAACAAACCAGAAAAGTTGCATTTGTTTTGTCCGCTGCAAAATGGCACTTGTCAACGTAATTCTACCTGTGTGCTGTTACCTGTCAGCTGATTACTGACAGGTAATGTAGTTCAGGAGCCTGGAGCCATGGCATGCTATGACTCCAGGCTCCTGAACTGTTTGCTGTGGTAGTATAGTTTGTTTCGTTTTTAAGACATGTAAAATTAGGAACACTTTTTAGCATTGTTCGATGTTGGTTGCAAATGTTTTGTCAAATACTGTATAAGATATATTTTTATAAAACATTAATTGGTACGTGTGCTGATTATTTAAAACGGTAAATATAAAAATAAGAAATGTTTAAAAAAAAAGAAGTTATTTTTAGAACAATGGTGTAGCATTAGCAGGTTCAGGAGATTTAATAAAAATGGAAGCACAATCTTTTAAGGTCCACCACAATCTTTTGAGGTCCGCGACTGTTGCAATAATATTTTTTATATACACCATATATTTATGAAGCTAAAACACCATATATTTATGAAGCTAAAACACCATATATTTATAAAGCCTATTTAATAGCAAAACAGATTTGGATTTTGTTTAACAAATTGTTAAAATTATTTCACTTACTATTTTAATAAAATCGTCTAAAAATGGAGAATTAAACTTTTTTTTAAATAATCAAAATAGCAGACATTTACACAAAATGGAACTGTGCATAAATCAATTGAAAAATAAGGATAGCCTTAATTAAATGTACATACATCGGCTGCCAAAAAACTTAAATAAAATTGCAAGGTTATGGTCATGTCTAGTGTTAAGGTCAGAGATCAGTATATTTGGTATTGGCATGGCCTTTATAATAGTTTTGCTTTTTAATTTCAATAAAAGTCAGGCTGTTTTCAAGGTAAATTTGAAAAGACATTTAATCGCATTTAATCATAAGTGAGAACTAATTATTGTTTTTAGTTTTGCAAACTTTGAGAAATCAAGTCAGTCTTTAGTAAAACATGCTGATCTAAACAATCAGAAAATCCAACTTATGTTTGAAAATAATGTAAACATTTTATAAAAATTTGAATTACAAATCTATTAAATTTAAAAAATTACATTTTTTTTTATTATTTTCTTTTTATTTCAAAACTTTACTTTTAACTTTTTGCATGAAAATTTTTAATAAAATCGATGATTTCTACCATAATATTTTATGCATCCATAAAAAATAGCTTTCAGAATTATTTAAAATTGTATTAGAGAATATTAGTGGGGGTGTCCATATTTTTTTAAATAAAATATTAGTGGGGTGCCCATACTTATTTTGGATTTTAAAAATGTAAGCTGCCATTTTTTAAGATTTTTTACGATCCAAACCATCTTATCTAAAACATAAGTCCAAACCATCTTATCTAAGACATGATTACAAACCATCTTATCTAAGACATAATTCCAAACCATCTTATCTAAGACATAAGTCCAAACCATCTTATCTAAGACATGATTACAAACCATCTTATCTAAGACATAAGTCCAAACCATCTTATCTAAGACATAAGTACAAACCATCTTATCTAAGACATAAGTGAAGACTTTCCCTTAGATTATTGTAAAAGGTTCCGTCTGGTAAATTTAATTTAACAGCAATTTGAGCACGATATAAAACTTTATGAAGTAAGAATTTAAATATTAAATTGGTCCTATCAAGTTTGAAAACTACTACCTACAAACTTCTTTAATTATCAATGACAGATATTCATGGTATAAAACTCATATAAATGTGGCTTTATAAAATATTTTAAATTTAACTCTGAAAGCTTGTTCAACATTCTTCCAATTGATATATAATATCTAAAAGATAATATTCTTTTTATTTATTTAATTCATCATTAAAAAAAAGAATACAGTTATATATAATACTATATATGAACTTTCATAAGTATGAAAAATAAAATAAAAGTTAAAAACTATTTCGCTTTTTCACTTAGATATTTTTCTTCTAAAAATTATAATTTTGAGCAGCAGCGGAGATAAGCCAGGTGGTCTAAAAAGAAATCTTAAAATATTTCAATATGTAACAGTTTAGCATAATCAAAATTTGTTTATTTTTATTCTTTTTTATTGGATTTTAGAGAATTTGTTAAGCTTAACTTGTGTGCTCTGCTTAGAACTTGTATCCTAAAGCGTATCTCGAATATATTAACGAATATAGTAACTTCTCGAATATAGTAACTCTCGTATCCTAATTCGTATCATGCGTATCCAACGCGGTTGTTCATAATATAACTGTGTTTACTGTTGTTTTTTTTGAATTGTGAAATTTTTTTTTTCTAAATGGTACAGAAATTTGTAAATATTTCAAAATAATTTTGTAAAATTTGAAATATTTTTTACATTTTTTTAAAAATAGTTTAGAATTAAAATTCAGCGAAATAATAATCTTAACTTTTAATATAATTTATATTTTGTATTTTTGCCAAAAATTCTTATAATTAATAAAAAAAGTTATTTTCAACTAATTTAATTTAGTTTTAAACTTTTTGTTACTACATTTACAAATAGTGATATCACGAATTAAGCATTACTATGTAGTGAACCTAAACCAGTTAAAGCAATATGATTGGTTAAGCACGCATTGAAAACAATTAGATTGCATTGCAAACTAGTTAGAGTTTTACTCAATAAAATATAAAGACATACTTTGTACATTTTTTAAAAAACTCACTTAAAACCATAAAATCAAAAGAATATTGTTTGAAATTTATAGGTGGGCTAAAAAGCTTTGAACTCCGACTAGAATGAATTTAAAAATATTTAGTTTCTGGATTTTATCTTTAATGTATTTTGTTAGCAACCTAGAAGGTATTTAGTAATAAAATTTTAAAATTAAATTATAGTTTAAGTAATATAGTTTTATAAAATATCAATGCTATTTTTATATATATGAAAACTATTTAATCTTTCCTAGAGTTTATTTCTAACCTCTTGTAACCTCTCGTAACCTCTCGTAACTTCTCGTAGAGTTGTTACCCAATCTTTCATAGAGTTGTTTTTTATTATTTTCAAAAAAAAGTTCAAGCCTAAGTGATAATTTCAAGTTTTTTTTCCTTATTCCCAAAAGTAAAATTTTAATATTCTTCTATACTCAGATTTATATTTACGTTTCTTAAATTATAGCTAAATGTACTGGTGGAAAGTATCCTTCAAATATGCCATCAAAGTATGACGATGTAATACATCCTCCAAAATATCCATCAAAAAATGATGATGTGAGAGAAAAAAACAAACCATCTAAAAACGACAATGGAAAATATGAGACAAAATCGCCATTGAAGGAGGGTGATGAAAAACATGAACCCAATTCACCAACAAAAAATGGTGACGATAAATACAATTCCAAAATGTCATCAAAACCGCCATCTAAGGAAGGTGATGAGAAACATGAGCCTAATATGTCATCAAAAAGTGGTGACGAGAAAAACAACTCAAAAATGTCATCAAAACCGCCATCTAAAGAAGGTGATGAGAAACATGAGCCCAATATGTCATCAAAAAATGGAGACGAGAAACAGGGTGCAAGCATAGCATTAAAAAATGGCGACGAAAATCATACCTTAAATGTTTCATCAAAACATGGTGAGGGAAAATATATTGATGACAAAAAAGTTTCAACAAGCAAGCCTTTAAATGATAATAATATAATAAACGATTTAACAATACCATCAGCTATACAGTCAACTACAACTGTTCAACCAAATCATCCTTCTGCTAAACACCCATCAAATGATCATCCAGCCAACCATCATTCATCAAGTCATCATTCACACCACGATAAATCACATCCTAATTTTGAGATCGAAGAAACAACGGATAAACAAACTAAAGTAAGTTTTAGATGTTTGATTTTATAATTTTAGTTTCTGTTTTTTATACTTTAATTTAGGTTATTTATTTAAATTATATTTAAGTAGATAATCAAAAATTTTATAATTATATTAACAAGTAAAAATTAAAATTAACTATATTTATTTATGTTATTATAATTATGATTTTTTATATTATGCATATATATTTTTTTATATTTTACTTGCTTTAGATTCATTCGTAAATCGACTATTTAACTTATGAGTAAATTAAATATTTTATAATTATATATTATAGTGTTATAACTCGTGTTCTTGGTGTCATGCAAAAACTACTTTGCGTAAAGTAAAGTCTCAAAAAGAATTCAAACGTTGTATATCACTTTGTGCGAAAGAAAACCAAGTAAGTGTTTTAAACAAGTAAATCAAAAAGTAATTTTTGAAGGCAAGTTTTTATAAAAACATTTTTACATTTTTTAGTGTGAACCCGAATTCGAAACTTGTTTACGTTTCAGTGATACAACAAATGGTATAACTAAATGCGCCAAACATTGGAAAAATTGCGCAAAAAGATTCTGCTTCAAGTAATTTCGTCACCAAACATGCATGTGTTTTTTTTTTAAAGATATTACCTCATGAAAATATATTCAAACTTTTGTTCAAAAACATTTATGTCATTTTTTAAAAAAGTTTTATAATTATTTCTTTTTGATATCAAGCTGAGCTTTAATTTTTTTCTGATTATTATAACCTTATTCTAACATAATATAACCTTATTTCAACATTAAACATGCCGACAAAAGGAACCAAAAACTCTTGATCATTTTCCCTCTTTCTTAGTTTCTAATAGCATAATACTAAACGGATTTCCGTCTAAAACGACTATCTATATGCGACTGATCAATACAAATTCCTTAAAAAAATTTAAAAAATTTAAAAAAAACTACGTCAACTTATTCTAGAATTGCGATAGGTTAATTAAGAATATATGATTCATTTCTTAAGCAGTTCTGCAAATTATACGAAAGAGTCATTCCTGAAAAAAAGTTTGTCATAAAAAACAAGTTTCTTCCGTGGATGTCCGTAGGTCTTCTTAAACCATCAAAAACTAAACAAAAGTTGTATAACAAATTTCTAAAATAAAAAACGTATAAAAGTAAGAAAATATACAAAAATTGTAAAAAATTATTTGAAAAAACAAAAAATACTCCAAAAATTTTTATTACGCAAAATTATTAGATTATAACAAAAACGCTCAAAAACACGGCATGTTATTAATGAAATAATTGAACCTGTCATTTCGAAAAGGACACAAGTCTATTTGTAAAAACTTTTCAAAATCAACAAAAACATGATTTTTATTAAAATAATGTCCACGCTGCTCAGTGGGCCAGTAGGTGGACAAAATGAGAAAAATTTTAGTTGTCTAATCTTGAAAACTTATATAATTTTAGTATCTACATATATTAGGAGAATTTTATTGATAATTTATTTATATTAAATCCCTTTGTTACCAGGACTCTAAGCATTTGAATATTGAAATTAAAAAAAAAAAAATTAAAAAAGTAATTTACGGTGACATTAACGCTGTGTTATATTTCAATTACATCTATGTTTTTGAAACAAATAATTAGTACATGTTATTCTAGAGTATTTAGAGATAATAAAAACCAATGTGTAAAATAAATATGTCATAGCATGTTATCTCAGTTATACTTTAAAAGTCACAGATTAAAAAAAAAAAATCTCCATGAAATTTATTTTTTGCCGTACTATAACTAATAATTACCATATTTTGCCATGTGCTGTCTTATATTTATTTAAGCTATATGATGCTTTAATCAAGTTTTAATTGATTGCTCGTCCCCTTAAATTCCCGTTCAGATTTTATATATGTTTTAACTTGGTTGTTATGGTACTGAATTTTGTATAGCAACAGCTCATTTTTACATTAACGTTGTTTTAACAGTATTTTATCAGCGCTAAGTACACAATATTGGGAGTATGTACTAAAATGAGATTCACAATTCATATGAGATTCACAATTCATATAAGGTTATTTTTTTTTGTTTGCTATGGCTACCTTACTTTGCATAGCATATAAACAACATATTTTCGGTAGTTGTCAGTAATTTAATATCTAACAGTAATTTAATTACTTTTAATTTTAATTACTAACACTTGTAATAACTTAATTAATAACACGAGTTAGTAGTACACGCAGCATATATATTATAACATTAAACTTTTAAAAACAATATATTTGTTATAAGAATTATTTAGAAATGGTTTTATTAAACTTAGACATTCATAATTTTCTCCAAAAAAAACAATCTTAGTATTTCAAAACAAAATATTATTGAAAATTTATTCAGCCAAAATTTGCTGAGTTTAAAAACGTTGATTTTAGACATGATGTTCAACGATTTGTTTATTTGTATAAAAAAAAGTGGAAATCTGATATACTATTAACTAAATACTATACTATTAAAAATTAAAATACTATATATAAATTAAAATAAATAAAAATAAATACTATACTATTAAAAATTTTGAAAAGAAGTTTGTAAATTCGCTTAATGAATATTTAATTGTCAGAAAAAAACAACGACAAACCAACTGCAAGTAGACGTGGTCGAAAACCAGTTGCTTTAGATAATAGTTCTAATAAAACTAAAAAACGGCGTGTATCTTGCTTAATTGAATCCCATTCATCCAGTGAATTTTTTTTTGCTGCTAGTAAAAAATTTAGAGATGAATCTATTGTTAGTGCTGCCAAGAACTTTTTAAATATTTCAAATACAGATAAAGCAACTATATATTCAGCAGACGAAGCACTGGCTTTAATAATTGATACCAGTCTGACAAAAGCTTCCTATGAATTGATTAGAAGCGGAGCCTTGGAGAAAGAATATATACCCTCTACCCCGCTTAAAATGATGTCAGAGATGCAAAATAGAAATATTATCCTGAAAATATAAGAGTGGAGGACTAATCAGCTTCAGCTCCTTTAAAAGATTTAATGATTCATACTTTGCAAAGAATCTGTGCAGTTCAGGAACCTGTGCTGAGGCACTTGACACTTACGTGTAAGGCTGGTTTTGATGGTGCTACTGGCCAAAGCATTTATAAACAAATTTTATCTGAACCCTACATGAACAGAGATTTAAAGTGTGAAGAATTATTGTTAAAAACTTGTCTAGCCCCATTGGATTTGACTGGACTTAACGACAGTAAGAAAAAGGTGCCTATTTGGAGAAATCAAAAGTTGTCATCCAGAGTCTATTGTAGACCCATAAGATTTGATTGCAAAACAGAATCCAAGGAATTTGTGATTTAAGAAAATCAGTACATTAAAAGTGAGATAGAAAGTATGGGTATGATTTTATTAAAGGTTTGCCGTTCTTTTATTGAAGTGAATTGTATTAATGAACTTACAATGATTGATGGGAAAGTTCAAACGATATTATCTGAAAAAGTTAACTCATACCAATGCTGTCTAAAGTGTGGTGTCTCTCCAAAAAATACGAATAGTCTTGATATCCCTGATAAAGATTATACTAACAGAGAGTTCAAATATGGTCTTTCCATTCTTCATGCATAGATTCAATATTTTGAGATGGTTTTGCACATTGCATATAAAAAAGAAACAAGAAAGTGGCAAGCAAGATCTAAAAAACACAAAGAAAAGATATCTTTAGCTAAACAAAAGATTCAGACTGATTTTATGAACAAAATGAGAATTGTTGTTGATTTCTCTAAAAGTGGTGGTTTTGGAACAAGCAATGATGACAATACCTCAATGTGTGATTTTGCAACATATGAACAAACAGCTGAAATTCTGGATATTGATCAAAATCTTATACTCTGATTTTATATTATCTTGGTAACACTCTCCTAAGGATATGAAATAGACAGCTTAAAATTCAAGAATTATTGTTTTGACGCTGTTAGACTATATGTGTCCCTTTATCCGTAGTATTACACGGCTCAATCTGTTCACAAAGTATTGATATACATGGACATGACATAATTAAAAACCTTACATTACCCATCGGACTTATGTCAGAGGAAGCTCAAGAGGTCAGAAATAAAGACTTCAAATATTATTGCAAAAATTTCAGCCAAAAAACATCCAGAAAAGCAACAAATACTGATCTTATCAATAGACTCCTAGTTTCCAGTGATCCTGTTATTTCATCACTGTGTAAATCAACATCACACCGAACAAATCATAAAGTATTTCCTTCAAATGTTTTACAATTACTTAAACAATCTTTAAACGATGTTATTGTTTTATAATTTTTTAATGTGATTTAAAATTGACAATACTTTCTTGCACTATTTTTTTGTTTTTATTATAGCAAAAACATTATTAATCTAAAAAATCAATTGTTATTCATTATAGGTGGGTCGAAAATCCGATAGAATATCCAAATATCAACTTACATCTTTGTAACTAAGGAAAGTATCTGGTAACTAAGCAATTTAAGTATCCATAGCAACTAAATTGAAAAACTTATCACTTTTACAATAAGTGTGATATCATATTGGTACTCATGCTAAATTTAGGGAATATAGCACTCATAAAATATCTGCAGATAATAAAAATAGGTTGTTGCTAAGTAAAATAAAGGTACGAAATATAAATAAGTAAAAAATAAATAATAAAGCAACGAAATAAAACAGATACCTTCATAAAAAGCGCAGACATCATATAAGTACTCAGGCCAATTTTAGTGAATATAGCTACAATATTAAATTAGTTATGAATTTTGTCCAGTAAAAGTGAATTCTGGCCCACTGTGCGCTGCTAAAGAAATTAAACATAGGAGTAGATAAATAAAAAACGTATATAACTTATGTAAGTTTTATTTTTTATAAAAAAAAAATTTTAATCATACATAATTAAATTTTTTAATTTATATTTATAAACCAGCTGTTAACAGTTTTGTATTAGTTCCCTTTTTGAAATAACAGGTTTAATTGGAAAAAATAAAAGTATAAAAAATATTCAACCAAAAAACTTCTGATAAGGTGTCGTCCTTAAATTATGTAATTTTCGACCGTTTTTGACCTCTCCCCCTTGCTCGTTAAAAAATCGTAACACTTAAGAAGCAAGTTTGTATGAGTCGTCACAAAATCATCAACCCCTCTTTCCCCTAATAGCGTAGCGTAATTTATGGACGACCCCTAAATAGAAAATTAGGTTATAAAATCTTTTATTGCTGAGAAAATTGTCAGCTTCTTTGTTAATATTGGGCCAAACTTAACTGAAACAATTCCGCTAAGCTCATCAAGTTTCAATTCTCATTTAAAAAGGTTCAGTACTTAAATGGAAGAAACTAATCTTTTCAGTACGTAAATGCAAGAAACTAATCTTTTCAGTACGTAAATGGAAGAAACTAATCTTTTCAGTACGTAAATGGAAGAAACTAATCTTTTCAGTACGTAAATGGAAAAAACTAATCTTTTCACTACTTAAATGGAAGAAACTAATCTTTTCAGTACTTAAATGGAAGAAACTAATCTTTTCATTACTTAAATGGAAGAAACTAATCTTTTCAGTACTTAAATGGAAGAAACTAATCTTTTCAGTACTTAAATGGAAGAAACTAATCTTTTCATTACTTAAATGGAAGAAACTAATCTTTTCAGTACGTAAATGGAAAAAACTAATCTTTTCACTACTTAAATGGAAGAAACTAATCTTTTCAGTACTTAAATGGAAGAAACTAATCTTTTCATTACTTAAATGAAAGAAACTAATCTTTTCAGTACTTAAATGGAAGAAACTAATCTTTTCAGTACTTAAATGGAAGAAACTAATCTTTTTATTACTTAAATGAAAGAAACTAATCTTTTCAGTACTTAAATGGAAGAAACTAATCTTTTCAGTACTTAAATGGAAGAAACTAATCTTTTCATTACTTAAATGAAAGAAACTAATCTTTTCAGTACTTAAATGGAAGAAACTAATCTTTTCAGTACTTAAATGGAAGAAACTAATCTTAAAATTTGCGAATTGCAAGATTAGTTTGCAAAAAAAAAGAACAGGTTTTGATAAAATTAGCGTCAATATTGTAAAATCTGTATTTGATATCATTGAGCGATCGTTATTTCATATCTTTAAACTTTAAACAAAATTAGAATTTCAAAGCATTAGAAACAAAAATTTATTTGGTTCAAAGACTACCTAACAAATAGAAAACAATTCATATGCTATAATTAAACAGTAACAGGTAAACACTCAATAACATGTGGGGTTCCTCAGGGTTCTATTTTAGGGCCATTATCATTTCTACTGCACATAAATATTCTATATTTATCATTAAATCTTATAAATTTAATTCTGTTTGCAATTGATTCCAATCTATTTTATTCACACAAAGATGTTAAAATACTTTTTGAAACAGGTTACTGAACAATTAGAAAAAATAGTTAATGAGTGGTTTTTAAGAAACAAACATTTTCTGAATGCTGACAAAACTAAGTTTACATTATTCCATAAATCAAATCCCATTGAAATTACCAAATCTTATTATAAATAAAACTATTATTAAAATGAAATCTTTAGTAAAAAGGAGAAGTTGGATGAAAATTAATAATGGAATTTCGTATAAGCAGTCTAGAAAAAAAAATTTCATAAAATAATTGAAATTATATATAGAGCTAAACCATTTTTCAATTTTAAATCACTAAAATGGTGGTGGGATAGCTCAGATGGTTAGAGCGTTAAAGGAAAAATGAAAACCCGGACTGTTGAACGATACGAGTTCAAATCCCGCCACCGCCAACTCAGCGCTTGAGTAGTACTTCGGTACGCAAAAATGTTGGTTAATAACGGACGCTACTTTGGATTAGCTACTTAATGACTATTTGTGGCTGTTCCTATGCTAAGCCAACAATATCTTCGGATATAAGAACATTGTATAGAAAAATATAGCATGAAAACTCAAATAAAATAAAAAATAATAAATAAAAGGTTTATACTTTTATTTATAGTTACTTAACGTACTGTAACATTGCTTGGGCAAGTACCAATCATAAAAAACTAAAAAAGCTTTACAGTAAACAAAAACATGTATGTCAAGTTGCATTTTGTGCTAAGAGAGAATAATCTTGCAAACCTCTCCTGTGATTACTTGATTACTATTAAATATTTATAAAATCAGTTTACATCAAATTTTAGTCTTTATGTATAGAACTTAGCTAGGATTATCGCCAAAAATATTTGAATGCTAATTTAGTGAAATCTGTCATAAATGCAACAATAGCTGTACTACAGACTTGGCGAATCTTATTCTGGTGCATATTAGTAACCACTAACTTTTTTTCAATGTGTTCACCTAGTACTGATTCATACTTCCAGTATTGTATCTTCAAAGAAGTTCTTCCAGTTATTTTATCACGAAGCGTCTGACAAAGAATTCCAAACGTCTTGCTCGTTTTGTACACAACCATACCTTTTTCAACAGCATTGAAAGCATCACGTATTTGACTATCTGTATATTGAAGTCTCGTTATGAACTACAAGCTTTTGTTTTGCCATTGTAAAAGAATCTAAGTAAAACAATATTTATTTTTATAGTAAAAAAGAAACAAATTGATTATTCATTAGACATACTATCCCGGTGGGAAAGAAGCTAGCGACTAGCTAGCTTTATAGCAATTTTCAATAAATTTTTTTTTTCTTATTTCATTTTTTTCTACTGTCTTTAACATCTGTTGTTTTTCTTCTACTGTCTTTTAACAAATTTATAGCTAGTTGATCGCTACATATCAAAATTTTTTTGACAACGGTTTTATTACGATATGACGCTAGCTACAATAGCCAGTGGGTCTTTAGCCTATTAAGCTAGCTGTCCTCTTAGCCAAATCAATTTATTTATATTTACAAATATATATAGCTTTTTGCTAACTTAAAAAAGCTAGCGATCCTCGTGACCAAATCGCTGTCTTTATCGTTACTATTATAGTTATCGCTAGCCATTTCCAACCGTGATAACTATAGAATCACATTTTTTTAGTTCATACTTATAGTACATTCAAAATTACTTTATTAATACTATGATAAGCGGTCTCAATTATATTAATAATGATTCATGTTTTATTTACCTGATTAAGTCAATTTAGAAATAAAATTTTATGCTAACTCTTTAAATTTCCTAATTTTATTTGAAACGCTTCTAACAGCGCTACTTAAAAAAAAAATATTTTCATATGTTGACGTAAATTATATTTGTATTGAGGTTTTTCAATGAATTGTAATAGAAGTGCATGACAATGTTGTTAATACACAAAATATGAAAATGAAAAAAAAAAAACTACTTTTTTGGAAAATTTATGTTAGTATTTAAAACCAACGATAAGTGTTGACTCACGGTAGGTGTGGAAACAACCCTAGTTAAAAATATTCTAAGAGGTTGATAAATTAAAAAAAATTGTTAAGCTTATTCTTTGAATTTTTATATATGTTATTGAAATTACTTTAAAAGAAATTTTAAATAAAAAGTTGTTTTACAGTAATTTACATTAAGTAATCCTTTAAAATACAGTAAGTTTATACAGTAGTTTTATTAACTTTTATTAACTATATCTGTTAATAAAAAGAAAAACTGGTAACAAAATCTGGTAACTACCGAGCATTGTTTTAGTGGATTTTCAGTGGATTTACATAGGTATTTTGAGTGGTTTATTTGAGTTTTGCTCATCGGTTACATAGTGGACCATAGTAACAGCCGCTATGAATCGGCAGCCACTAATGGTTCACTAAGTAACCAATGAACAAAACTACAGTGGACCGTTCAAAATGCCTGTATAGGTCTACTGAAATTCCTCTATTGAATGTCTGCTGGGTATTGTTACAATTGTAATTATAGTTACCAATTTTACTCGATGTTAAAGAGCTTGTTCAGAAAATAATAAAATTAAAATCTAATCTCTAACCCTGCTCATTACCTAACCCAAACGTCAGTATAAGCGAAAATGATAATAAAAGTGAATTTTGAAATATCAAATCAATGAATGACACTTTATATCGTTTTATAATTATATTTTATTGCCGATTACGTTTTTCTATTGTCCGATATTTGGAAACATATTTCCAAAATATTTTATTGGAAAGCATTGCACTATATTTCACTAAAATAGGACTGAAATTTATTTGGAGACAATCAAAACCTTATTTTTAAATTTAAACATTATTAAACCAAGTCTTGAACTACAAAAAGCAAGTTAAGTTTATATTAATCGATAACTTGAAAAAAAGGATATGTTATGTGAATTTTTGCAGGACATGTCCCCTTTTTTAAGTTAGCGATTCATATATAAACTTAACTTTATATTTATAACTTTAAATTTATAATTTTATACTTATAACTTAACAATATATGAAGCTAAAACATAAATTAATGGATTTTTAAATGTGTTTATATAGAATGGATTTTTATATGTGTATATATTTAAATCCATTAATTTATGTTTTAGCTTCATCTAATGTTAAGTTATAAGTATAAAATTACAAATATAAAGTTATAAATATAAAATTAAGTTTATATATGAATCACTAACTTGAAAAAGGGGGACATGTCCTGCAAAAATTCACATTACATGTCCTCTTTTTTAAGTTAGCGATTCATATAAACTTAGCTTGCTTTTTGTAGCTCAAGGCTTGGTTTGTTAAAGTTTAAATTTAAAATAAAGTTTTGATTGTATTAAATGTGTAAACATACACATTTAAAAATCCATTGATTTATGTTTTTATTTTCATCTAGTTTCATTTTTTAGCGTTCAAAAGTTATTACAATGTAAAATTTACAACAACCTCGTTTTGATAACTGTGTAGTAAAAGTAAATCAAAAGATACTATATAAATAGCTAAATCTTTTTCGAAACTAGATTTTTCTATTTATTTTAGTTTGCCATCATTTTTTATGAAATTAGAATATATTTATTACCTGCATCAAAATGCATTATTTTATTTCTCTCAAAACTCAACCCTAATTTCAACTCAACCAACCATTCATCAAGTTATTAAAAATAAATTATAAATAAAAAAATTATAAACACGAAATTTAAGCAGAGTTGTGAAAAGAAAGAAAATACTTTAAAATAAACGAAATTCAATTAATTTAAATAATTAATTGAAATTAATTATTTAAATGAGTAACAACTACATTTAAAAAAAAAAAATAGTTCACGTTTTTCAAATTAACACTATCTGAAATTAACAATCCACAAAATGATATAATGATGCTTTCTTAAAACATATCTTTAAAGAATCTTAGAAAAAGCTTCAGTTTTTAAAAAAATAAACAATCTTCAAAAAAAATATAAGAAGCCAAGTTTGTTAAAAAAAATAGTTGCGCTTATTTGGGGCTTATTTGGGGCTTATTTGGGGCTTATTTGCGCTTATTTATTATTTATTAACAAGGGTTTTAAAGTATAGAACTCCTAAATTAACCTTTCGAAAGTCCAGTAAAAAAAACAATTTTAGAAAAACTTTTGAAGAAATCGTTTCAAAAAATTTTTTTTTCCTGTTTGCTTTTATTCCTTATTATTGTTATTATAACTTTTATTATTATTATAACTATTTCATTTTTTGTATTTTTTTTTTTCAACATATTTATAACACATGGCGATGTTTAGTAAACTCAATGTTGCAACATTTTGAAGAATTAAAAGATAAAAAAAATTTAAACAAATTAATTAGATGGAGAAATAATTAGAAAAATGAAAAGAAATATTAATCTTTATTAACAATAGAATAAAAAACAAAATAATGATTTTAAAAAAAATTAGTTGTAATTAAAAACACATAAACACCATAAGAGATTTAGGTTTTGAATCGGTTGATTTTGGAAGAGAAAAAAGTTATTCTTGACTCTGTTCAACTGTTATAAATACCAAATGCAAATGAATGCAATGCACGGTAGTGGCATAAATATGTTAGTTTTTCAATTTATTGTATATATGCATTGGAATGTGTTGGATAATTAAAACATTACTACCCTAATATACCACTGTAACAAGTATAATTCAAACATTACTACCCTAATATATTACTGCAACAAGTATAAAATATTACCTACAAGTATAAAATATTACCTCATAAAGTGTATAATATTACCTAGACGCTCATTTGCCTATCATGAATTGATATTGTTTAAAATATTTAATAATTAATAAAAGTTCATCATGTTAAATGAGTAATGACGTGTCGGCAACAAATGTTACGCAATATTCAATGCAACATAAGCGTTCTTATAATTCTATAATTCATTTTATTACACTATACAAGTTTTACACAGATTCTATAGTAGTAAGATGTCTGCTGCTTGACCAAATATTTAAATTTTTTTATGGTGTTACTGCAAATAAAGTGGGGCAATAAGCTTTATAAATGGTTTGAATGATAATTCTTTAGAGTTGAATCTTTTAATTCGGTAAGCTTAATGTTACATTTCATTAGTTTATTGTCTTCTTTTTTAGGTGTTTCGAATGCTTTCCCCAAAAAATAAAACAAGTTCTAAAGAATAATTCGAATTTTCTTGTAAGGAGTTTTCTAGATGAAAGTATTCCGGACATTCATCAAAAGAAGCCGTTTTAAAAATGAGTGTTTTGCTTTTATTTCTATAAAAGCAAAAGAGTTATTTCTTGATGAATCCACTCTTATTTTTAAACAATATATCAAAGACAATAGAAAAAAATAAAATTATTCAAATATTTTGCAATACTTTAGATAGAGTAGTTGTTTTTAAAACCTTTTAAAGTTAAAAACAGAAAACGCACAGTTGCCACGATCACTTGACCAGATGACAAGTTTATGAATTTAAATTTTATTACAAATTTTCCGCAAACTGAAAAGTCATACAGACAATAAATCATGATAAAACAAACATACTGACAAAATACTATTTCTTCATGACTGACAACTTTTGACAACTTTAAATTTTTTTTTATTTCACATTTTGTCGATAAATTTAGTACTTTCAAAAAATGAAAACTTTAAGTTTATTAACTAAAATGCAATTATGAGATCATATTAACTATTTTTGTTAATTAATTATTAAACAATTGAGCTCTTTTATGACATTTTTTCTTACTTAAATTAATTTTATAATACAATTGATTGGAATATTGTTAATGGCATACTAAAAATGTGTATTCATTAAATAATTCAGAGTAAGAATTCGAATACATTTTTTTTGTGGTAAGAATTAGTCACATTTTTTTATTTATACTTTTCCCAATTATCATCACTTTCATCATTTGTCTACACTTTCACAAACCGTCATCACTTTCATCAATTGTCTTCACTTTCATCAATCGTCATCACTTTCATCAATTATCTTCACTTTTCTCAACCGTCATCACTTTCATCAATTATCTTCACTTTTCTCAACCGTCATCACTTTCATCAATTATCTTCACTTTCATCAATCGTCATCACTTTCATCATTTGTCTTCACTTCTATCAATCGTCATCGCTTTCATCATTTGTCTACACTTCCATCAACAGTCATCACTTTCATCATTTGTCTACACTTTCACAAACCGTCATCACTTTCATCAATTATCTTTACTTTCATCAACCGTCATCACTTTCATCATTTGTTTACACTTTCATCATTTGTCTTCACTTTCATCAACCGTCATCACTTTCATCAATTATCTTCACTTTCATCAACCGTCATCACTTTCATCAATTATCTTCACTTTCATCAATCGTCATCACTTTCATCGTTTGTCTACACTTTCTTCAACCGTCATCACTTTCATCATTTGTCTACACTTTCATCAATCGTCGTCACTTTCATCATTTGTCTACACTTCCATCAACCGTCATGACTTTCATCATTTGTCTACACATTCATCAATCGTCATCACTTTCATCATTTGTCTACACTTTCATGAATCGTCATCACTTTCATCATTTGTCTACACATCTCATCTACAAATGTCATAATGTCACTGTTTTGCATCTGTCATGATATTACAAATGTCATGGTGTCACTGTTTTGCTTCTGTCATGATATTACAAATGTCATGATGTCACTGTTTTGCTTCTGTCATAATTGATATGACTAATAAACTACACTATTTTACTCAAAAAAAACCGACGATGTTAACATAAATAAAAAAAACTTCTTAAAATCATAACGAGGTACTGTTATGAAAATAAAATCGCACATAAACGGTCGTAAACAGTAATATTTGGTTGATTTTAAATTTATTTTGGTTGAAAATCTTGAGAAAATTTATTATAAAAAACATGCAATTTCAAAAAATTTTATGATTTTTAAAATATCTTTTTAGAGTTTTAAAATTTTTTGGTTATTTTAACCAAAATGTTTTAAAACTCTAAAAAGGCTCTTGGAACCTTTTAAACCCAATGTCGTTGGTCATTAATAAAATTGCTAGAGGTAATTAAAAAGAGAATTGCAATAATGTTTATATTTAAAAGATATTTTTGTGGGACAAATGTGTAACTCCATGGTAATATTCAAATAAAAAATAGTTCAACGAAGAACTTGTGTTTCCCTATTTAAAGACTTAATTAAGGTCTGTCAGATATAGTGTGAATAAAACTGATACTATGCACATCTAAAAACAATGCCATAAAAATAGCATTTTATTAAATTTATGCATATATATGGGCATTTCCGCGAGAATGTCGGTCGTAACATTTCACACTCTTTAAGCTAAAGTCAATTTTTCTCTCTAAACTCTCTAAACTCTCTTTTCTCTCTAAACTCTCTAAAGTCAATTTTTTTTTCAAAAATTACAACAGGACTGAAAATAAACGCAAAAACACCCTTACACCTTTAAAAAATGTTATGGTATAACAAAATGATTTTTTAAATAAGTTTATTGCTTGAAAGTATTTTTGAATTGTTAAAAAAAAAAGTTATGGAGTTTAGTATTAACTTTTCATAAGTTTAGTGATAACTTTTCATACTAGTCTAACTTTTTTGCTGAATTGCCGTTATATATATATATATATATATATATATATATATATATATATATATATATATATATATATATATATATATATATATATATATATATATATATATATATATATATATATATATATATATATATATATATATATATATATATAGCAGGTCTAGGGCAGCTTAGGGGGCCCGCACCTATACCACCTCTAGCCGCACATACTATAGCTAGACTAAGTAGCACATACTATGAGCCAGAGCCTAAAAAAAAAAAAATAAGGTCCTCAAAAACTAGGGGGCCCAAGGCTATAGCCCCTTTAATCCAGCACTGTGCCTAGCGCCCCGCAAAACCTAGACCGCCCCTGTATATATATATATATATATATATATATATATATATATATATATATATATATATATATATATATATATATATATATATATATATATATATATATATATATATATATATATATATATATATATATATATATATATATATATATATATATATATATATATATATATATATATATATATATATATATATATATATATATAATACGAAAGCGTAATACTTACAAAAATTGCATAGTTTAGATTAGGGTTGTTCACTTTTGCAAAAGTTAAGTTTTTGATTAAAAAAAACTTTTCGAAACTCTATTTTTGTTTCGGTATGTTTAAAACGATTTCTACTTAACTTTGAACCGAAATGAATTTCGCTTTATAAAATTCAGGATATTCTATCAATACATTTTTTATGTCTCGAAATCCTAAAAATAGCTCCGAAATTATTTTTTGCTTTCAAAACTTTGAAAGTTGTATCGAAATATATTTACATTATCGAAAATTTACCGAAACAATTTTTCACTTTCGAAACTCTATAACTTGTATCGAAATATTTTTATATAATCGAAATTCTACAAATGGCACCGAAACATTTTATCACTTTTAATATTATCGAAGTCATAAAAACAGTATCAAAAAATTTTTTACTTTCGAAATTTTTAAAATCACTTCAAACTATTTATTTTATTACACAAATTAACACAAATATTAAATTCAAAAATCAAGCCCTGTTTTATTTTTTTAATTTTAAGTAATACTTAAGTTTGTGCAATTTAAAAATGAATTCGCTGATTCGCAATTGTTTTTTGAAAATATTTAATGTAATTGTAATTTATTTTTTTTTAATTTTAAATATCGGGAAAAAAAGGGTTAACTTTTTTCTTTGTTTATACATTTTTATTGAATTTTTTTCGAAACTATTATAGTTTCGAAAGAAATTCAAAGATACATATATATAAAAATATTAGTTTTAGTGCTTATTTTTAAATCTTATTTTGTGAAAATGTCACGATCTCGACTATATGGTTACACCTATTGTTATATATAAATATACATTGTAATGATAAAGTTTTTGCGGTGATGAAAAATATTTTAAAAACTAAATCATTTAAGAATCGCAGGAGAACACCAGCAGTAACAAACCATATAAAAAAAACAACAACGATAATAAGATGTATCAAGTTAAAAGATAAAAATTATTATTATTAGTAACATCTGAATAACTTTTTTATGACTAACTTTGGCAAATAATTTCCATTAGTAAAATTATAAATAGTAATTAGTTCCTAAGTAACTTTTTTATGTTAATTACTTATGTTAACTACTTTTATTTGTAAAAATAAATTACTTTTACTATGTACTTTTAAAATCAACTTTATATAATCAAATTTTAGATGCAATTTAGTTATTATTATTACTGTTATTTTTTTTTAATCATTAATTTTTTAATTTTAGTTGTAAATATATTTAATACTTTACATTTAAAAATGACTTTTTTACTTAAAGGACGTAAAAAATCTATCCCTAATTTAACCTAAGGCCATGATTTAGTTAAACCAAATGTATTAGCTGTTGTAGGTCTAAAACTATTTTTTGGATTAAAATGAATTTCGCCGGTAAAGAAAAAGACAGATTCCTAAAGGTTAGTTGGATTTGAGACAATTCCCTGCATGTACTCCCCAACAGTCGAACGTTGCATGTACTTTTGATTTTGAAGGCGCCCGCGCAACTAAAAGTTTTTGTAAACGTCCGCGTTCACTGAATGCGCAAATAGATATTCCACTTATCGAAATTAATTTTTTTTTTTTTTTTTAAAAGTTTGTTTAATCAAAAAGCTTCTTTTTTTTTCGAAACTGAATTATCTTATCGAAGTTCTTTTTTTTTTTTCGAAAATTATTTACCTTTGTAAAACTTTTTTTTTTCGAAAATAATTTAGTTAATCGAAATGGTTTTTTTTTTTCCGAAACTAATTTAATTTTTCGAAACTAATTTTTTTATTTTAAAGTTTATTTTTATAACTTCTCAAAATTCAACTTAAATTTCGAAATTATTTTAGTATATATATATATATATATATATATATATATATATATATATATATATATATATATATATATATATATATATATATATAT